AATATTTTTATTGAATTTTCTTATGCAATTAATTCTCTGTAAAAATTGATCATTTATAAAAATTTATGGGTTGAAAAAATATGAAAATGCAATTATTTTAAAGAAAAATGTATAACTAATATCTTAAAGTGGTATTTTAAGTTTACTTAAGCTTATTATAATTATTTTTTCAGAATTATAAACTTTAAAGTGGTTTTTCTCAGTTTGTGTTTTTCGAAACATTATGCATTCAAAATGCTACTTCTTCCACAATTATTTACCAATCACTTCCAGTTTTTTCCTGCGTGTTATATATAAAGCATGTAATAAAATTAGGGATCTGTTTTGCTATAAACTGAATCCTTTTTTTAAAAAATTAAAATGTAAGAGATATTGGCTTTTTCGTTGATTCTTAGCATGCAGATCAATATTTTTTTTCCCTCAAGAACGAATTAAGTTATTCTACAATCGATCCCTAAAGTTGTTTAGAATATCCATAAGAATATTACAAAAAAATCTCAGGTCAAAAAATTAATATTTACAGAAGGAGTAGGATTTTAAAATTTTCCAAATTTTCCTCAAAAAATTTTAATTTTTAAAATCGTATGAATAATATGTGAAAATTTTTATCTCTTATCGTTTCCTTGAATAGAAACATTATATAAAATGCTAAAATATAATTTTTAAATACATAAATAAAGAAAGTTGTTCAAAGAGAGTACCAAGTCCCCTTAAATTTATAAAAATCAAGCAAGTGTAACTTCAGACTTAGTACGGGAAAGAGGGGTTCAACGAGTGTGATGGTGCCAAATTTCCCCATCTGCAATTGGGTAGGATAAAATAAAAATATCTAAAGGTAAAAAAAATTTTAAAAGTTTCAAAGCTTAAAAATTAAAAATTGGGACATTTGATTGGGATTTAAAATTTAAAAATATGTAGTGCGAAATATTAAAATACTAAAATAGTTAAGTACATAGCAAATAGTAAAAACCAATAAATCGTCAAAAAGGCGGCGCCCAAAAAAAAAGCTTAAAAGAATTTTAAAGTTGAAAAAAAAAATGTACGCAACTCCAGACTAGTACTAGATGCAATTTTAAGCTTTCACGCATCTTTTATGAATGTTGTTCAAAATTCTTAAATTTAATAATTTAAAGCATTTAAACTGAAATTAATCCCCCCCGTTGAAGTCAAACTTTAAAAGAAGTAAGAATTATATATTTAGAGCAAATGACTAAGGCTGTGTTATACGAACAATGTCCATATGAAACATTATTATGAACAAAATGAGAAAAAAATGTTGGATGGTAAACTGAAAAACTGTTACTGAAGGTATTTTCAAGAAATATTTTCAAGGTGCATTTCCCTATAAATAGGAGCTATTCAATCATATTTTATAAAAAAAAACAATTTAAAGATACAGTAACGAAATAAATATTATATAGTAATTGGTGAGATAATGCCTGTTTAAAATTTTAAATATATAAGTAGAGGTATTGTAATATACATAAAAAAGAAATGTTTATAGATCGAGAATTTTTATTCACACAAATTCTTTTTCAATTCCTACTATTAGTTCACACTCTCCTTATATATATATATATATATATATATATATATATATATATATATATATCTTGTTCAAATTTCCAATCGTTAATAAGATACTTTTTAACACCCTTTTATAAGTTTCACTTGTATGTAACGGAATCTTTGAACTCAATTTTTACCCACTTTAAAAGGTCAGATTAATTTTGCGCACTTGTCCAGGATCGATGACAATACAATAATTTAATATATTTGTTCCATTGTCCTGATCAGGATCATCAGGATTAACGATTTCAAATTTTCAGATCGCATCTCGCATCTGGCAACTAATTTCAGATTCCATTTCCACAGATTTGACGATTAAAAATTGTGACAACTTAGTTCAATTAAGTGTAAAAAGGTGCTTTTTAGTTTTTTTAAACTATAATTTATTATTCATCCATTCAAGTTCAAATACATTTTTTAAAATTTGTAGTGAAGGACACTTGATGTTAATACAATTTTTTGCAAATATTATTCATTAATTAAATTGAATGTATGAATAAATTGTAACAAAAATAATAGTCCAAAAACATTTATAAAAAGGAAAATCTCTCGCTGTGTACCCATGGCACAATGGATAGCGCGTTGGTCTTCGAATTCAAAGGTCGTGGGTTCGAATCCTACATGGGATGGCCTAGTTTAGGAAAATGTGATTTATGAATGAATGAATAGTAAAACAAAAACACAAAATTAATAGTCTAACACCATATACACAGAAAGGAAAATCACTTTCTACTTTGCTACTTAATGTTGTGATTCTGTCAAATGTTTATATTGATTGTAATTATTTAATAAAAAGTAACTACAATAAATTTTTTCTTTGTTCACTTAAGAAGGAATTGACTTCAGACAAGTTTTTTCATATGGCTTGTTTTAATGAGTTCAAGAATTAAATGGGTAACAAGTTAAGCAAACAAATACTATTTTAATTTCAATTATGTGTAATAGATATTGTTCGTGAACAAGTTCAATTCACTAGATAGGGCTGCGGTAGCCCAGTGGTTAAGGTATCGGATCATGGCAGGCATGTCATGAGTTCGAGCCCTATACCACTAAAGACCCGCCGTGTAGGGCAGCGATGCACGTTAAATCTGTCGAGAGCTGAAACGTCCTCCCGTTGGTGTGGTGTGGTGTGGTAGTTAGGAGAGGGGGTGCCAGCTCAGGTGTCTTCCACGTCACTTGACCATGGTTCAAAATTACGTGGTCCGTCGCCAAAAGCCCTCGTGTAGCTGAATAGTGCGACGTTAATATTTACTCACTCACTCAATTCACTAGACGGATAAAGGCTCATAAATTTCAGACACATACAACACTAAATGAGCACTGTTTCTACGCAGCTTGTAGCTTCTAACTTTATATCTCTACATTAATTTTTCTATCCGGAAAGTAATAAAATAAAATATCCAAATCCTACAATAGTCGAAGGAATACAAAAACTTAATCGTTTTATACTGCTACGAAAATGAACAAATAGGAAATGGGCAAAATACATCCCAGTGCAATTTCATGGTTGTAAAGATACAACAATCAATGATCTAGTTCTCATTCAGATGAACACGTGATGCATTACATCGAGTCATGCTTGTCAATCACTTGAACGCACATTTCTGTTGAAACCATTCTCCTAGCAACCTGCCGAACCTAAACACACCCATTGAAATGGAACAGACGACACAAGAGTCTGGATTAATCAATTTTTTTTCTTTGTTGCGATTAAAAATAGAAATTTCCGGTAAATGAGTTTTTTTTTTCGTTATAAGGAATTGATGTTGGTACCGTCGGTGTCTAAGAGGTTAGAGGTATTTAAAATACCAATCGAATAATTGTCTCGATGAGGTATGGATTTCAAAGACCATCCCCAAAGTAGTGCTAAGTAAGGATAGTTAATCGTTAGGTGTTCTTCTCTGGAAATTTATTTCATACATTTCAAAGTTTTTGAAAATGAACGCGAAGATATTTATTTATAATATATTAAATATAAAATTATCAGTATCGAAGAATTACTTTTTCAATTCCTACTATTAGTTCACTCTCTCTCTCTCTCTCTCTCTGTATATATATATATCTTGTTCAAATTTTCAATCATTAATATAAAATACTTTCTATTCATCTATTCAAGTTCAAATGCATTTTCAAAACTTGTAGTGGATGACACTTGATGTTAATACAGTTTTTCAAATATTAATCATTCATTAGATTTTATTTTTTAATTTTAAATTTATTCTGCTTTATTTCTGTCATAGTTATAACTAGCTGTAACAGATGGCGCCAATACATTTTTCTAACAAAGTAGGAATTGACTTTAAAAATTTTTTGTATTACTTATTTTATGTAACTAAGACTGATGAATCAGTAGAAATTTGAAATCCAAACGTTAATTTGAATAAAAAGTCATATCTGCAAAGTGAGTCATAATTGTTTTTACAAAATAAGAGGGATGGTAGTATACATCCAAATGAGCAACAATTACCATGGAACATAGAGTTACATTCCATTCTGAGAGGCAGAAAAGAGTAAAATTAGAATTAAAACTTGAACTTACAATGGTGTTGGAAAAATGATTGAATGGTACGAAAAGTTGCACACAACCTGATTTATTGTTAAGAGAAAAATTCACAGAAAGTGCTCAAAGTGGCGATCATTCGTATTATTGTACGGTTCACACCAGCGGAAGAATAACTGGCACATTCTCTCATAGATTCTTGGTGCAGTGCGAATTTTATCTGTGACAACAACGATTCTTTCTAAGAGATATTCCAATGAGTTCACAGGCATCTCGTGCACTAAAGATTTCATGTACACCCAGAAGAAAAATTCCAGTCGACTTAGATACGGTGAGTGAAGAAACTCAACCATGTCTGATCAATCGTTATGTAAAATGTGATGTTCAAGAAGTGGCGATCTCGTAGTGAGAACCATTGTTGCCCCTAAGTAAGCACATCACAAGGAGTCTTCAAGGGTCTTCACCAGTCATTCTTTCGCCGTTGTGCAACAACACGCGTTCCGCCACTTTGAGCACTAGCTATCAGTTTTTCTCTGAATAATAAATCAAATTGCCCAACTTTTGGTATCGCCCATTCACTTTCCAAACACCACACATTCAGGTTTTAATTCTAATTGAACACTTTTCCCTCTTTCAGCCTTTGTTCCAAGGTAATTATTGCTCTTCTGGAAGGGAATATTATCAACTCTTATTTTGTAAAAACAATTTAGATTCTTCTGTATATAAAGAAATAAAAACATTATTTTAAAAAAATACTTATTAATTCATTGCAAAACTCTTATTTCTAAGATTGCAAAATAATTAAGTTTATTTTGTTCTTGTTTGTCTTTACTTTTGTTTATAGCTTAAACATACTCAATAAAAAAATCATCACACAAAAAATATATTACGATAACTTCCCCAATGTACCTGAAATCCTACTTCCCCCGAGGCAAATATGCTAAATGTATGTCTTAATATGAAATCAAAAGACAGAACTCCAAATGCTGGATCGATAAATAAAAAAAAACTAAAGTCAAAATTTGAATTGAAATAAGGGATCTTATATTCCTTTCTGCCTTATCGAAGAAAACTGAGACTCATTAAGCAGCCAGCTCTCTTGCCGTATGTTTTGTGCCAGGAGCTGTTCAGTCTCAATTAAATTAGAGAAACGCACAAAATACATTTAATAACCTAAAATATTTTCCAGTTTTATGAAAAGTTAGAGAGAGAGAAATTACACTCCCAAGTATATCTTAGAAAATATAAAATTTTGCATAGAAGTATTTTTAGCTTAATGGGTTTCTCTGAGTTTTATGTAATTAAAATTTATTTAAAATTCAGAAAATAACTAATTATTGTAAAGGAACTCTCCTTTTTAAATTACGAGAGTGCTTTAGAACGCAAATGTAGTACTTTAAACTTTTTAAGAGAAAATTAGACCCAAAAATTTATAATTTTAATAAAGAACTAAACACTATAATTACATTTCTCTTTCATATGATTCATTTATATTTTCAGTACCCTAATTTATTTTCTCCTATTAATGAAATAAATAATACGTTGTTACAGATAAACTAAATAAATATATTTTTCTTAGCACTAGAATTAAAATTACTTCATTATCTTATGGTATCCGAACACGTTCGGAGAACTTTTTTAAAAAATAGCATAATAGACATTATAAATGCTTTTTTAGGAACCAATACCCATAACTACTAATATTTAACTATCAATATTTAAAAAAATAGCATCTAAATTTTACAGAAATCACAATTATAAGTGAAATTTTAGCAATGTTTTTGAAAAACTTCAGAGAATTTAGAGCAAAAGTAATTAACATAGATCAATATAAGTATTACTAAAACAAATTATTCGCATTTGTCTAGAGACTGTCATAAAATTTTAATGTTTTGTTAAAATTTAAAAATTTTAGAGCAGATCGAGTAAATATTATAAAAAATG